AAGGAAGGAAGGAAGGAAGGAAGGAAGGAAGGAAGGAAGGAAGGAAGGAAGGAAGGAAGGAAGGAAGGAAGGAAGGAAGGAAGGAAGGAAGGAAGGAAGGAAGGAAGGAAGGAAGGAAGGAAGGAAGGAAGGAAGGAAGGAAGGAAGGAAGGAAGGAAGGAAGGAAGGAAGGAAGGAAGGAAGGAAGGAAGGAAGGAAGGAAGGAAGGAAGGAAGGAAGGAAGGAAGGAAGGAAAAGGAAAGAAGTCTCAATGCTGTCCTATAGTAGATTTATTTAGATTTTGTGTGTGGTAATTTTTTTTTTTTTAAAGGAACAAGTATTCCTTTAAAATTCCAAAGTCAATTCCAAAGCAGCTCAAAAGGTTTCTGCTTGTCGCATTTCTGGTCTCTGAGCTGAAAGTCTTCCAGGGTTACACAACAATGACTAAAACTGGAAACCTTTCAGACCATTTCCAAAATGAAGCAGGAAGCTGAGGTGATTGCTAAACCGATGCTAGAGATCCACTTCCATGTGTGTGGGGTTAGAGTGAGAGTACCCAATTTCATTTGGAGGTTTCCCGTTGTTTTCTTTTTGATTTAATCTCAGAACAGAATTATTCTGGAACCAAGATCTTCACATTGTTTTGCTTAATGTTTTACAAACAGGCTGTTGACTGAAGTTGTCACTGAACAAAAATTCACCCCTACTTGTTTACATAATGGGAAAATATAGTCATAAAATGGGTGTAGCAACAATTTGTTAGGTATTAGGTTAAGGTGCAATATAGGGATTATCCTCATAAAACACTGAGCCCTAAACTCAAAATACCAAGATTAAATTGACAATTACATTTAGTGGAAGTCTTTAAAAGGCTAAACTTAGTGCTTAAGGCTTTAGAGTTACTGTTGTTCTGAGCAAGTTGATGAAAATCAAGAGTTCAAGTTCTTCTGGTACAGCTGCTCTATTCAAGAGGAACTAGGTGAAGATTATAAATATGATAAAACAGCTTGATAGTGTTTGCTCTGTGGTAGCTTTTCACTGGGTATAGGTAGGTGTTGGGTTTGTTCCTATTTCTGCCACTGCACTGCTTTATGACCTTTGAAATATAAGAATTTATTTACCTTTCTCCCATATCTAATTGGGGTGAAATTTTCAAAGGTACCAGTTTGAGGGGGTCAATATGCATACCCCAGGAACACAGGTCTCTAGAGCAGTTCTGTATCTCTCTGAGCGTGCTTCAGTATACAACACAGTAAGATCCTAGCCTTGGCTTAGATAATTAAGAATATATGCTGATTTTCTCAACTCTGAGTCTGATATATGTATGTGTTGGAAGAACTTCTGAACCCTCTCTGCCATTTACCCTAATGAAATCTTTGAGTTTTCCCTATTTCTGTCTTCCTGCTATCCTGCCTATTTTCACTGCTCCATTTTCATCTCTGATAAGTTTTTATTTGGGGGGGAAAAACGTTTCTAAAAGAATGGCTAGCAGAAGTAGTGCAAATTTCAGCACACTTCCTCCTCTGAACAACAGAACAGTATGTGAGAGGAGGCTCATGATGTGTACAAACATGCCAAGAAGTAAAGAAAAAAAAATCATGGAAAGTAAAAGCAAGAGAAAAAAGGGCGAAGGTTTGTGTGTTAGTGTTAGAGGAAGGTGAAAACGCTTCCTGGCAACATCTGAGAATCATTTGCAGCAACCGATCCATGAGCTTTAGTGAGTAGAGAATGTTTTTAAATCCTCCCCCACCCCCTATGTTAATCTTTACCAGGTAGAAGGACCTTTAATGTAATTCGTATGGCTTTCTTAGGGATGTGTAAAATATTTCCATTTTGAAAAACAAGATTTTTGAAATGGCTCTGAGATTTAAGCTCAGAAGTCTGGTTGTAAGTCTGTGGTCTTCTCCCCTTTAAAATTTAGTAATAATAATAGCCTTCAGACTGTTCTGCAAAAGGCAGCATGTCTCAGTAGGGTGAGCGATGAACATCTGGCCTCACAGCCCCACTGCCTCTCATGTGGAATAGGAAAATCACGTGCTTGTTTAAAAGTGTCCCAATGAATGAAGTACGGGTCATAATACAGACTTACATAATTCAGAAACATTGAAGGATGTTTTTTTAGACTTCAGTGTTCTGACAACATCAGGCAATGTAAAAGAGTTATTAATTATGATGCATGATCATTATTGCCCTCGAGAGACTTTAAGAGGTAGCCTGGAAAAGTTCAGCTTTGGTTTACCTTCAAGAACACCCAAAATACTGGGAAATGTTTTTAGATGTTTTTGAGTGGCTGAGGAGGCTATTTCCTAAGACTTTCGAGCACATTTGGGATTTTAGGTCATCTGGGGCACGTCTCCACTGTGCAATGCCAAATGACTCTGAGCAATCCAATTTTCAACACGACAGAGAAAGATTAACTCAGATCCTGAGAGCAATATATGTCTGTTAGTGTTGCTCTGCACTGATTCTTTTTTACTCCATCCAGCTTCAGGGCTAGATTATTTGGTTCTCGTTTAGGAAGCTCTGCATCACTTTCCCTTTCTTATTACAGGCATACTTTTGATTGCTTTGCAAAATCCAGTCTAGCATCTTACTACATGGCTTCATTTATACCAGTCAAAAACCCATCACAGACATCCATAAGCATATATATAGTACTACAACCTGTACTTAGGAGAGACCCTAAGCAGAATCCGAGTTCCTAATGCAAGATGCCTCACAACCAAAGTTGTCTCCTGTGTGTGACAGGCTACTGTAAAATCAGTGGACTCTGCCACATAGCTGCATGTGTGACAGTCCGTAGTTCTTGCCAGCACCAACAAAATCTAAAGATGGTGCCAGCAAAACACGATGTTTGAAATATGATGATTTGGTGATGGCAACAGCAGAGAGTGGAATCAACTCAGAAGTCTTTGATTGATGAACTGTTTAGCCCTTTTTAGAGTCCCCGGATGTTTGTATTTTCAAGGAACTCTAGTTTGAATGAATCAATAAGAAAAACAGCATGATTTTATTTAAGATTATATTGGCTCCTGATTACAGTTTGCTTCATTTTCACACCTCACATTATGAGGTTCTTAAAAAAATAACTCAACAGTTTCCAGTTTTTGTTTGTTGTTAAATATGACTTATAAAATGTTAGGTCAAGAGTCTTCAATAGACTAGGCTACACTGTTTGTTTAAAGCTATGAGTAAAGCAAGTCATATGAATGTTTCCAAAGACTGTATTCCAAGAAGTATTTTTGGAAACATTAATGTTGTGTTTTTTAATGAAGGCCACATTCTGAGGCTACGACACCATATGTCACATTCATTTCTGTACTGAAAAAAAAAAAAAAGAAAAGAAAAAAGAAATGGAAACTATGTTTGGCTTTTAAGTGTTTTTGGAATAGTGTCTGTGCATGCTTGTCATTGTTCCTTGGATGGGAGAAGAGTTCTCGGTCTGTTAATCTAGTCCATCCAATATATATTACACTCTATGGGCCTGACTCTCTTCTGCCTTGAAGTCTGTGCAGTCATTTTTACTCAGGCAAAGTGAATGAAGAGCTGAGGAAAAAGACTACCACTAGGAAACTTTTTAAAAATTCATTTTCCATTAATATGTTGGCTTCCTTGTAAACCTACATCTGAACTTTTGTCAACTGAAACCAGCTTAAGAATGGGAAAAGTACTTGTCATTTTTCCATTGAAAACTTACAATTTTTGGAAGAATAATGACAGGTTTTCCTCAAAATATTAGCTTTTTTCTTCAGAGATATCAGTTAGAAGCATGACATTTGGCAAAAATTTTGAATTGTTCTAGCTGTGTACCCTATGACTTCTGACTTGTCAGTGTTTTGTGTGTTAGCAGTTGGGATATAGTAGAATGAGCTGGAGACCTGCAGGAAAAGGCATTTGCCTTTTTCAGTGCTGTGTCCTACAAGTAATTCATAAGCATCCTGTAACTGATTACTTCAGCTGAGTGTTTCCTTTTTTATTGGATTCCAGTTGATGAGGTCTCAGTTTCTAACATAAGTTCTTGTTATTAGTCACTAAACGTATAGCCTAGCACTTCATACTGCTGAAGTTCATATGGTTGCAATCTGCAAAGACATCCATTTTTTCTCTGATCTGACAGAGGAGTCTCCTAATTCACATCACTTCCTAAATTTGGGTCATCCACAAATTTTATTAACATACTGCATGTTTGTTTCAAACTCATTAATAAAATTGTAAATACTTTTTGGCAGATGGATTTTTTTTGGTTTGTTTTAAGGAATGATCTGTAAGGGTTTCCAGGACCTCAGAGAGGTTTCTTTTTCATTTGAAATGTAAATACTTTTCTACAAATTGAACAAATGTGCCTCTGTAGCACTAGCCCAGTAAAGTTCGATTCCATGACCAGGTTTTTCTGGGCAATACTGAAACACAAATAATGATGAATGATTGTGTGGTTGATAGATTTTCTGCTTAAAACACATTTGCGCTGAACTTGCCTGCCGATGCTACTGAAGTCTTATGTCTAAATGAGGGTGTTTTCCTAGGCATTTCTTCTGATGGAGGAAAACAAGCAAACAATTAACTACCTCAATTATTTGGCTAACTTTAAGAGGGTTCATGCCATTCCTGTGACTGCTCATGAGAGCCCATCCTTATTTGAATGCTACTTCACCAGAATATTAGAAGAGATACTCACAGTGGGGTCACCACAAAGGTTTTTGATTTCTGTTTTTATCTACATACCACATTTTAGGATTGATATGGACATTTCTAACTGGTTGAATTTCTAGCTGCCTCATATTTCCAGGCCTAAGTTTTTGAGTTATGTTGTGTCATGAATGTCAGAGTCTGTACTCTTCAGAAAATTGCTCGTGATGGCCACAGAGTGCATGTATTTAGATTTGGTGTTCCAGAGTTCTGGCATAGGAAATTAAAACAAAAATAAACTTTTTCTTTTATTTCATAGATTTCCAATGAATAAAGAAAACAAATAGCCCCTGGGACCACAAGTGTGTTCTGTAAACTGATGCCACGAGGCAGATATGAGAAAGATGACTGAACAGAGCGGTTGCTATAGGCCTGTAAACATACAGGGAAATAAGATCAGTTACCGAGGCACTTGTCAAGAAAGCCCCGAAATGGGGGTGAAAAGATTGCAGAAGCGATTTCTCCACAAGGATGGCAGCTGCAATGTGTACTTCAAACACATCTTTGGGGAATGGGAGAGCTACGTAGTGGACATATTTACCACACTGGTGGACATCAAATGGCGCCATATGTTTGTGATATTCTCATTGTCCTATGTTCTTTCATGGTTGTTCTTTGGATTAGTCTTCTGGCTGATAGCAATCCAACACGGAGATTTATTCAATGATGAAGAAATAACCCCCTGTGTTGCAAATGTCCATAGCTTCACAGGCGCGTTCTTATTCTCCCTTGAAACCCAAACGACCATCGGTTATGGATACCGCTGTGTTACAGAAGAGTGCTCTGTTGCAATCCTCATGGTTATCCTACAGTCAGTATTAAGCTGCATTATTGACACCTTCATAATTGGAGCAGCCTTGGCTAAAATGGCCACAGCTCGAAAAAGAGCTCAAACCATTCGTTTTAGCTACTATGCTGTAGTAGGCTTAAGGGATGATAAATTTTGCCTCATGTGGCGCATTGGTGATTTCCGGCCAAATCACATGGTTGAAGGCTCTGTACGAGCTCAGCTTCTGCGCTACAAGGAAGACAAGGAAGGGAGAATGACGATGGAATACAAGGACTTGAAGTTGCTAAATGACCAGATCATACTTGTCACACCAGTGACAGTGGTACATGAAATTGATAGTGAGAGCCCCTTGTATGGTCTAGACCGGAAAGCTCTGGCCAAGGACAACTTTGAAATCTTGGTCACATTTGTCTACACAGGTGATTCAACAGGAACTTCACATCAGTCAAGAAGCTCATATGTCCCCAGAGAGATTCTTTGGGGCCATAGGTTTAACGATGTCTTACATGTAAAGAAAAAGTACTATAAGGTGGATTGCTTACAGTTTGAAGAAACCACAGAAGTTTATGCTCCTCACTGCAGTGCCATGCAGCTGGATCGGAAGGAGCAAGAATGGAACCGAACCGAGAAGACACGGGAAAAAGAAGCAGAGATGTCAGCACGGGAGATCAAGTCATTTAGTACTAATCAAAAGTCATTTAGTGCAGTTGCTCTCATCACCAGTTGTGAAGATCCAGAAGACCCAGTGACAGCTGTCAATCTACCCTCTGGAGAAGTTTCTTATCCGAAAGCAGCTGTGACCTTAAGTAGGCTATCAATAGAGTCCCAAATCTAGCTTTTTACTGCAATTAAAATCACTTCCAACAAATTCTCCCAGCATAGCTTTTAGAATATAAACAATGAACTCATATGCACAAGTATTTATATTATAAGCCTTGCTGACAGCATGCCCACATTGTAATACATTGCTGAGCTGCTAGAAGGAGCTTCATACTGGTTAGCGTGGGTATCAGTAACAGATTAGCATTGGCACAAGAAAACAGCTTACTTTTGTGTTGACTAGACAGCTACTGTACTCGAGCAAACTTATTGTAAACTTTATTACCCTGCAGGGACCAATGTTGGACATACCCAGAGACAGATAATGATCTAGGCAGGGAACAAAAACAATGTAGTGTACCCTCTAGGTCGGATTTTTCAAAGCTGCCTAATTTATTTGGAAGGCCAGTTCCCAGTCTCTCTAGGAGGCTCTGAACCCCCCCACCATCACAACAAATGATTACTCTTTCATTGCACCTCTCTAGCCGTTCAAATGAAGCCCTCATCCCAGGGTTACACTGGTGAATCTATGGGGCTGTTCTTTGTAGGAGGGAGTGAACTGGCAAGAATAACTGAACCCAGTATTACTGGGTAGCTTTGGAAACATGCTTACACCCTTCCTAGTCCTGTGGGATCCACAGTGGGATCCTGGAGAGCTTTTCTCATTTCCTAGTCGTGAGCCATTCCCAGAACTACCACTCCCTCAGCAGCCTGAGGTATGCGGTATGTCAGCTGGCTTGGGGCAGCATGGAGATTCTGTTACGTGGCTCTGACGGCTGGAAGGGCTGGCCAAACTGGCTTATTTGCACTGTTCAGAAATCAAAATGAGACCTCAAGTTTGAAATAAAAATCAGCAAAATCAGGTTGAGCCTCATAGAGAAGATCATGTTTTTACAGTGAGCTATGCAATATTTCAAATAGCAAATGTCTTTCATTTCAGAATGTCAGCCTTGCTTTTCTTTTTAGTGTGTTATGCTTCTTTAAAAAGACAAAGATCAATCTGGAGACCAAACAGTGTGATTTTGTCAAAATGAAATAATTTTATTCATCTGAAATGGCTGTGTAAAAATGATCCTTCACAGAGAAATTCAACATACTCAGCTGTCAGCTCAATTTGGAAAAAAAGGAAAATGTTAATGTTTTGAAGTTGTCTGCAACATGGAAGTTCCATGCTCTGCACATCTCTGTAATTATTCAATAAGCAATATCTCATCATGCTTTTTTCCCCTGACGATTACAGTTAATTTGCATTGTGTTTAATTATCATGCTAATGTAAAAAACAATTATCTCTGAATTTGTGGTTGCCTAAAATGGGATTTATCTCACCTGACCTCAGCCATCAAAAAAATTACATGTTTGCCTGCTGGTTGAGGCTCTCTCTGGTTAACAGGATTGTTCTTCTGTATTCACAGAGGAGCTCATCCCATCTTACTCTGGCTTTTTAGAGAGCTGAAAGCAATAGGAAGTGTTTATCCTGGAAACGTTCATCCCTCCCCATTTATTGTTGAAGGAGATGAGATGACTGTTGTGGAAATGCTGGCTAACTTTAGGCTGCTAAAATTAGGTCTGACGAGTCATTCACATCATTCTGACTAATTAAAAGTTTTTATGAGCTCATCACATTTAATGAAGAAAAATAGCATGCTGAATCTTTTTTTCCTGAAATTTACTCCATATAGTAGTATTGCTACATTATTTTAATGTATTTTGCATTTCTCTCTTGCTTGCCCTCGTCTTTGGATATATGTGATCCCTTTAGGTAAAACCAAGCATATTAACAAGCCTGGGGGAATGTGGTTATTCCGAAGTTCATTAATTAGCCTATATTATATGCTGAATCATCAGCAACAGTAGAAAACATCCTACTGTATCCTGGAAGTGAGCACTGACAGGCATTAGGGAAATAGTCTAAAAACCAGCAAGGTTAGGGAAATGTGTAAGGGTCTCAATACTTATGTGGTGTTGGAAAAATCACCGTACAGGTTGTATAAAATAGAACATAACCTTCAAGACATGTGAAGTAATCCTTCCACACTCCTCTGTCTTTGAAAGTTCTTGGCTTGGTTACTTTATTTGATGTTGGGCACTGCAGTTTGGGAAGGACATGGAGCAATTTGAAGAGAATCTGGAGATCTAGAAAACATGTCAGTGAGGAAGTAGGGAAATAACTTAAGGTGTTTCAGTCCAGAAAGGGGTTAGGAAACCGAGAAATAGTTCTCAAACACAAAAATTGCAATTTAAGAGACAGGGACAATCTGTTGCCTGTATCTGGTGAGTAGGACAGGAAAACATGGGCTTAAGCTGAAGCCAAAGAGATTGAAGTTAGACATTAGGAAGCACTGTCACAGAGAAGGTGAAGCACTGACAGATCTGTGTGTAATCTCCGTAGTGGTGGCTCTCAGGAGCCTGTTGGTGAAAATGTCTGTATGTGCTTAATTACATGGGTAAAGCTATGCAGAGAGATGAGATACTACTGAGATATGTAATCAAAATCCCCAAACTGTCTTCAAAAGGTGCATATCTCAGATGCTGTTTGTAAAAGTAGTTTCCCTTATTAAGCTGTGAATCTCAGCAGCCTTTCCCTCTCCCAGTTATGTACTGTGTGAGCCTCTTGCGGTGAAGAAAATTCTTTCCTCAGAATGACTTTCCTGTAAGTGAAAGTACCAGGAGTCGATTTAGCATTTTGTCACATGCTTCTTGGTATAGATAGATATAAATACGTGAGCATGTATAGTAATGTATGCTTTGGCATATAAGTCAGCCACTAACTGATGAGGGTCAGGAAGAGACTTCTCTCCTGGGCATGTTAATTCGTAACAGGCTACTATACAGTTTCTTCTACTTTTATCTACAGCATCTGATACCAGCCAGTGCTGGAGACAGGATACTGGGTGAACCACTGGTCTCAACCAGTCTGGCTTTTTCTGGGTTTCTCTGATATTTTAATTTCATTTATCACAGTATAGAAACTATGTATAATGATGTACAGTAACGCATGCATTGCATTTTTATGAATAAAGACACAGAAATAAAGAACATGCCTCTACCACACACCTTGTGAGAGCACATTTTACTTTTCTTCCCTTCAGCCACAGTTTCAAGCTTCCATATCTTATGCACTAGGAGGTCATGGAAAGATTTAGAAGGTGCAGAGTAGTCTTTTGCCTTTAAAAGATGCCAAATCACAAGCAAACCCACAAAGTTATAAATACATTCTGTGGAAGTTTTTAGCATGAACTCCATTTGTTTCAAGGACTGAGCCAAACAAATCCCTGCTCACAGACATACACACACACGCTTCTGTGTTATATCCAGAGCTTGCACACTTAACCTGCAACCTCCTCCCCTGGTGAAGGATCTTTGATAGCGCCAGTTGGAGAAGACAGGAGTGGACAGAGGTGTAGAAGGGATACATAATCACAAAAAAAGCGCAGATTCCTTCCATAACTATCATTTAGATGGGGCCCGACTGCACTTTTGGTAGAGCCAGTACTTAATCCTCCTTGCCTCGGAGAGGACCTAGGAAAGGCTCTTGCAGTGCACTGGTGTGCAGCAGCTTTGGGTAAATAGGAGGGAGAATCTTCCTCACCCATCTGCTTTTTTTAGATGAGGATGTTTCCCAACGTTTTCCATTTGGCTTTTTTTTAATTTCATTCATCCCCATTGCAAAGCTGAGCAATGCAAAGGCAAGCAAGACTCTCAGAAACCCAGCAAAAGTAACAACACATGCATCCTCACAGCAGAAACACAGACCTAACCCTTGAATTATCCCTTATGATATGGGTAAAAGTGCCCATCAGTCCAAAAGTCAGTGTCTGGCTGAATTCTGGGCTGTTCAGTGAGTTGGGAGGTGAAGAAGAAGAGCACAAGAACCCTCCCGCTCTCCCAGAGCTTTGCACATGCTCCTTGGTGTTCAGCGGAAAGCCAATACATCGGGTTGAAGTTCAGCAGCTTCTTCCCAGCCACCAAGAGGCAGCAACTGGCATTTCTTCCTGCCTCAGCTGGAAGTTGCTCATCCTGTTCCCGTCTTTTCCACAAAATTTACCAGATGAAGCAAAATTTTAACAACAAAGAGAAAATACAAACCACTTTGCATTGGACTCCTGTATCATGATTATAGCTGCATCTCGGTTCTTTTCTTTTGGAAAGTAGCACTATTGTTCTGAGTCAAGACTAGTTTATGTCAAAGGGAATATAATAAGAGATTATTATATAATTTATTTTTCCAGCTTTGCCTACCACCGTTCATTAAGGCAGCTGGCATTTCCTTCCCCATTATCATGTATCATTTAGTGCATATTTTCTGTGAAGTTAATTTTCAGATGTGGGACATAACATATACCCCTTTGTCTATCCCTTGTTTCTTACACACTGTGCAGGAGGTCTGACTTCACCTGCCTACCTGAAGCATTACGGCTACACAGTTACCCTCACTTCAGGAAATAACAGGTACCTTCCAGGGTGTCAGAATTGTTTGTGTGGGAAGAAAAAATTGCTTGTAAGCTTTTTTCAGCTCTTAAATCTTTGCTGGTTTTGAGCTGGGAACCTGCAAACAGAAAGAACTGGTGTCTCTGTGGTGGGCCCAAGAGGCCCACGTAGGGCAGCATTTGACAAATTCCCTTCCAAGCAGACAAGAGGAAGCACCAGAGAAATGAAACAAGAACGAAACAAGGAGCAGTTACAGTTTCAGTCTGGGTTGAAAAATGTGGATCAATGTTTTCATGGGGCTGAAAATCCCAACACAGGAGCTACTTCCAGAATTTAGAGCTTTTCTTGGGGTCAGTCCCGTGATGATGGGAGACTCAGATAAACATCAGGCAAAACCGGCATGAGGTTGGCGATTCCGTTGTGGGCTCCGGTCGCCCCCTCGAAAGCTCGGCGTTCTGCAGCGGCCATCTTGCCACCTGCCCGTCGACGTTTGCTCCGAGCTCCACATCACAAACTCACCTAGGACTGCCAGACAGGCCCAAGAACTTCCTACCCAGGGGTGGCCCTGAGATCCTGCATCTTTCCGG